TGGTTGCTTTAATTCTTCACCTAAAGTTTCTTGGTCTCTTTGACTGTGGTAAAAATCATAGATGATTCAATTGTCTTGGCGTTTAGAAAGATGTTAGCTTTCCTGACTTCTGTTCTGATGGAAGTGTGTGAAACCAGACACTTTTAAATGGAGCCTTGCATGTGGTAGCTTTTAATCTTCACCTAAATTGCCCTACTTTGTCTTGATGTGTGTAACAGATATATTGGTGAAAAAAAACGTCTGTTGCGTTTAGAAATGATCATTTAGCTTTTCTCTGATTTAATTTTCTTTAGTCTGATTGATGTTTTGAAAGCAAGATGACTTGGATTGATCCAAGGCCTAGCGCTTAGAACACGTCGCCAGCTTTTCTGACTAAATGCTTTATCTGCTTTTATGTGTGCGAAAAATAAAATAGCTTTATTGATACTTCTTTTGTCTCTGTCATGGACAAAGAATTGCTTGCACAGTTTTGAATTACACAATCGCGGCTTTGATTTGTGGTACTATCATAAACTTGTCTTAGGGTTGAATTGAAACTAACAGTCCATATGTCCCCAAATCTCTTTATCCTTATTTGAAGGTGTACATATTAAATAAAAAATTGTGCCAAAAAAATGAGCCAACAATATGTTCATATGGGGAAAAAAATGATCTTTTTAACTTTTTTTACTGAAATTTATGTCAACAGTTACATGATATCAAGGCAGCAAATTTCATTGATTTTTAAAGTTCTTGATGGAATTAATGGATAAATTTGAAATAAATGAAATCAAGAGAAATTTTGAACTAAATTAAAAAGATAAATGTGAAAAATATATCGTTTTTTTATATAATTTTATGAATTGTTTGAAGGGTAAAATGAAAATGCAAAAGAATTTCATTAAATATTTGGTCCCATATATTAGCAAATTTTAAAGAAATTTTAATTTATAACTTTGTTTTAAAATATTATTATATTAACTTCTTTCTTTTCATATTCCGTTAATTAATACTAAAAATGAATTTTTGAAAAAAAAAAGATTATAAATAAAATTCATTTTAAAACTTTTTATATTCTACTAACCACTGAAATTAACTAGAATGTTAGGTAAAGGAAAAATCATATGATATTATCATATTAATTTAATAATTTTATATTCTATAAATTCATGATTTGAAAATAAATTTTCAAAAATAATTAGATCACTTTTATTTGGAATTTGAGTATGATATTGTATTTTTAAAATTTAAAATTTTTTTCAATAATGAATGTTATCAACGATCAATCATCCTAATATAATTTATATCATTAGAATATATATATATATATATAATTTATATTTATATTTATATAAAAGAACGACTGCCTGCAATTTCATACGAGTCCCTGGCGTTAAACGGGGAGTCAAGGAGCAATGACTAGTTGGGTCTCACAAAAGTATGTAAGTCCAACGAATACAAAGAAAAAGAGAAAAAGATATATTGGATTTAGATATGCTCTGTAAAAGGACATCAAAAGCAAATTAGATGGCCCAAAATCAAAAGCTTAACTCATTTTATTTATTGTGAAGACCAAGACCGTTGGTATTAAGTGCCTCGTGATATCAAATTCATCCGAAGATTTTATAAAAATACTGGATTACCTGTTTAGGTAACAAAAATTGACATTTCGTTAAAAAAAAAACTCTTTAAAAAAAATTTTAAAAATGGCCTATTTAGGCAACAAATACTTTTAATTTTCCTTACCTTAAAAAAGTAGTGGTTACAAATTAAGAGGTTTTACACCCAATCTCAATTATTTAACAACCTAGGTATGATAATAAAGTAATCAAATTCAATGTATAATATTAAAAGATCGAAACGTAGTTAGAAGAAGATCGTACTATTTTTGGAAACCATACAAATTCACAAGTTAATGTCGAAATAATAATAGTGGTTGCTTTCATTTAAAAAAAAATAGTTGTTGCTTTGATTTGGTAAGGTTTAGATTAATCGTTGCTCCTGCAACAATGTCAATTGCTTTTCTGACTTCAAAATTTCTTAGTCAGGGTCAATTGGAGAAAGAATTGTCAGCATTAGGTGGAATATCTGTAATATATATATATATATATGATAATTTTAAATATAATAAGATCACATGAGATGAAAGTTATATGAAAAAAATGTGAAAGTAATATTATTTAAAATTTTAACAAAAATTTTATGCGAATTTGGCAAGAACAGAAAAAAGTGTTAATATATTTAATTTATTGACATAAATTTGATATGAAAACTTTCATATTTTATATGTATATAATAATATTAACATAATATAAATATATGAATTATCAAATTTATTTTGGATCGTATTGATAAAAAATTTTATAGAAGTATCAGATTTTGATATACTCATGTGAGGCGAAGAAAATTCATTAAAAATTAACTTTTTATAGGATGTTACCTTGTGGGTGGGTAGCTTTTTTTGAATAAGATTAAAAAAGTTTTTTTTTTTTTAAATCTTAAATTTATATTGTTATTCTATTTTAACTTTGGACTTAATGTAAATTTACCAATTGGTTAACTCGTGACTACAACTCAATCACTTTATCATTAGTGTGTGTGTGTGTATATTCACAATTTTAGTTTAAAAATAATTTTAAATTTATTTAGCATAAAAAACCTAACAACATTATCATTATTATTACCTTTAAAAAAAAATTCTACAAAATTATAATCTATCATCTATCATAGGTTTGTGATGAAACGACATGACCCATTAAAAAAAATCTAATGTATTAACAAGTTGCAATGGCCCAATGCTATTATTTAACATATTATGCGGTCTATGATGATTAAGGTATAGCCCAACACAACATATGATCCATAGTTCTTATGGATTGTGTCGTGCTTAACATGACACTATTGTTTACGCTTTTTTGTGCTTAATTCAACTCACCCATTAATATTTTTTCAAAATTTTTTATCATTTTTAGGAAGGTTAATTTTTTTATTTTTTAATTATATTTAAAATTAATACGAAGGCATATCATTTGTATAGTTTGACAAAATATCTATATTTATGAGAAAAAATTAAAAGAATCCATTAAAATAATATATTGAAATTAACAAATGTTAATTTTTCATCCTTAAATTAAAAAAAATAAACAAATATAACATTATCATTTAATTTTTTATTCTCATCATATGATGATTCACTTATATCACATTTTTTCGTACCCAATTTCTATATAATATGCATTTCATAATATCATTTTTTTTTAAAAAGTGATAAATTAAAAAAAAACTATAATTTTATCTGTTAATAAATTAAATATTTTATAAATATATTTAAAGATATAATTTAATTTTTATAAACTATTAACATAAAATATCAAAAAAATAAAAAAATATTCATCATGATAAGAGTCACATAAAATACAATTCAAAAACCGACAAATTACACTCATTTATAGCAATTATGAGCCGACACGATATTTTAATGCTTGAATGTCATACCATCCCAACCCATGTGCTACGTGTTGATACTAACCCTTGATGGGTCGTGCCATGCCGACCTAATGGGTCCAAAACTCTTAGTTCAGCATGACACAAGTATAACAATCGTGCTTGGCACAGCCTATGACCATAACGATAAACAATGCCAAACATGATCCACACTGTGTCGAACCCTGTTATGCCACTTGTTGCCCAACCCATTTAACACCTCTCGTTACAAATTAAAAATTAGTTACAGATAGATGTGGTGATGACACATGTACATAAGGGTCATAGAAAGATGTATTCAATTTTTATGGGTACTTTTGACATTTTATAAGAAAAATTGGGAGTTGTATTTTGGATTTATTTTAAGATGCTCTTATTATGGTTTTTTTTTTTATTATAAATATAAAATTATGCTTTATGTTTTTGTTTATTTGATGTGTTAATTTTAAAGTTTTATAATTTAATTTATCTCTATGCTTATTTGAGTAATTCATTTGCTAAATTTTTAGGGTGCATTGATATTAATTAACTATTATTAGAAGTGGATTGTATTTACTAATTTATTTATAAGTTGATTATTTATAAAAGAATTATTAAAATATTATTATTACATATAATTGACATTTATATCTCGAGTGTTTAAGTAATAACAAAATAATAAAATAAAGACCGAATTGAAACACGATCCTAAGGCTAGTAAGTTTCCAAACTCGGAAGTATTTCCATTTTTTAAATAATTTCAATAGCATTAACCATTGGTCTCATCTACTATGCTATATATAGGAGCAATTTTTACTTGGCATATTTTTATTGAATACTACAACTCACATTACAAATAGAACACAGTAATATTTTATTTTATAAAAATAATTTAATAATTTAATTAATTTTATTTTTTTAGATTTCGACACACCTGATATGTGAGTGAAGAAAATATTTTGATAAAAAAAGGAAGTTAGCTAATAAAAGATGCTACTTGATGTATTCGATATGTAGTTTTTTTTTTACAAAAACAAATTTTAAAAATAAGTATCTGTACCTACATAATATTATTATTATTATTTTATCTTAAATTTTAAGTAATTTCATTAATTAAATTGATTCCATCTGGTTAAAAATAACATAGATTACTATATTTTCTCCAAGAAGAGAGATGCCAGCATTACTATCTTGCAACAACACTACTCGCGTAACACGTGGAGTCATGGGCCCAATAAAGTGCACAGACAAGGAAATAAGAAGAAAAAGATAGATGATAGAAAAAATAGTATATTGCTACAAAAGATTAAATTAATTTTCAAAAATAAAAAGCTTCCACTCGATTTATTTATTGGTGAAAGAACGAAGACCATTCCAACGACCTTCCTGTCGAAAGTCTCAGTCATGTGACTAGTGATCTATATTTAAGTATTATTTTGAGCAGACCTTCCTCAAACCATCCTGCATTTTAATCAATTCCCATAGCCATGAACATGAGAAAATTCCATTTTCTTTCATCAGCTTTAATGTTCATTCATTGTTTGATGATTAGTTACGCCATGATTGTGAGGAACCTCACCACAGACCAACATGCTCTTCTCGAATTTAAGCACCGAATCATTGATCCTCATAACATCTTAGCCAATAACTGGACTACCACTACCTCTGTTTGCAATTGGGTTGGTGTCTCTTGCGCTTCTAAGCATAGGAGAGTCAACTCTTTGAATCTTCCCAACATGAATCTTACAGGAACTGTCCCACCACATTTGGGAAATCTCTCATTCTTAGTATCTCTTAATTTGAGCCACAACAATTTTCATGGCCATTTACCGACAGAGTTGGGGCAATTAAGTCGTCTGAAACTCATAGAATTAAGCTTCAATTTTCTTAGTGGGGAAATTCCCTCATGGTTTGGGGGATTAAATAAAGTTTTATATTTGAGCCTCTGGAGCAACAATTTAACAGGCACAATCCCTCAATCACTAGCTAAAATGTCCAACTTGGAAATCTTGGACTTGAGGCAGAATCTCGTTCAAGGACACATTCCACCCGAGATAAGTAATCTTATAAATCTAAGGATACTTCGTCTGGCATTTAACCAACTTTCTGGTTCTGTCCCTTCAATTATTTATAACATTTCCTCCTTGCAAATGATTTCTCTTACATCTAACAGTCTATCTGGCAGTTTACCTGAAGATATATGTCGTCATCTTCCCAATCTTGAGGCACTTTACTTGGCCTCAAATGAGTTTTCTGGTCAAATTCCATCAAGTATAGATGAATGCAGGTGTCTTCAAAAATTTAACATTAGACTTCAATAGATTCGGTGGCAGCATTCCAAGGAGTATTGGAAATTTAACGAGGCTCAAAGTGCTATACTTGGGTGGAAATAATTTGGAAGGTAAGATTTTTTATTTTATTTTTTGCCTTCGATAATTTTCTTTTATCAAAACAATTCGTTATTAAATTGTAAACGCAAAATATTTAATTTGTCACTAATTTTGTTGAACTAATTATATAGTGAAATATTGTTCAAACTAAAACTCCCTAAGTTATGCTACTGAATATAGCTTTACGTTGACCAAGACTCTAACAATGCACACAAAAGAAAATAGGAAAAACTAAACATATCTATCTGTTTATATAATTAATTTTGGTTATTTTGAACAAAACTTGACCATCCTAGAGGTGTCATGTGGTACTCCTCTTTTTTTTTTTTTCCTTTTTTTAAAATTTTTTTAAATATGCAATAATTATTTTTTTGAAAGATTAAAATTTCCCCTTTTTTTTGTTTTTCTTTATTTTTTTTATTTTTAAAATATTTAATAACTATTTTTGAAAAATTTAAAATTTTAGACCCACTTTGTATTGAGAATTTTTTTCCTCTTTGTCATTTTTACCATTTTATTTTTTTCCAAAATTTTAATTTATATTTTTTTATAGATTTAATTTTTATGTGGGAACTACCTAATATCAAGGACACGTCACGTCACATGTTTGGTTTTTTTTCTTTTATTGATAAGAATTACAAAATAATTAATATCTAATATATTTTTACCCGTCTCAATTTGACGTAGGAGATTTTGTAAAAAATTAATATCGAATAAATTTGAGTTGAATTTTTTTTATAGAAATAAGGGACATGTCATAATCAAATTTATTATAATTTGCATCAAGCCATGCTACGATATACATATATATATATATAAATATATATATTATTACCGATTTAATTATATAAATGTATTCACTGGTTTTGTATTGAAAGCTTGATATTAAGTGGGTTTCACACGTAACAAAATAAAATAAAAAAATTATTTTTTATAAAATATATAGTGAGAATAAGAAGCTAATTTATATGTCCATGTGTCACTCTCATTTGGATTTTTTTATCTTTTATCTTTTTTTTCTTTGTTTAAAATTAGGTAACACTTTTAAAAAAAATCAATGAACAAGGATGACAAAATAAAAAAATTTTAATCCGAGACAATATGTGGTATCCAACTAATTAAATTAAAATTGAGAAAAAAAGTAAAACAAAATAAGCATTCAAAATGTAATCTATTATTATTCTATATAAAAGTAGAATCATATATTAAACTATTAACAGAAATTAAAATATCTTTTAATTAATTATTCAAGAATATTACTTACTTTTGTACAGAACTAAACTTTTTGAATTAATGACTAAGCCTAAGACCAGGCTTCAAAAAATTTATTTTTTTGAAAGGCAAAGAAATTTATTCAAGAAGAAAACTTACATGAAGTTATTTAGATAAAGTTTATGAAGTTTTTTTTTAAAATGATTTAATAGACACTTTAATAAAAAATTCAAACTAGAGTTCCGTGTAAAAATCAATAATATAAGATTATTAAAAATGTTGTTTATAATTCAAATTTGATCGATGCTGATTCAACGGTGAAAATTTTATCAACATTTTCGCACAAAAAAAATCTATCTAAAATGTATATATCAAAATTTATTAATTTTTTTCAAATTTTACACACTTAATTTATATAACAAGATTTTTCAATATATCGATTTTGATTTTAAATTTTAGCTTTTATTTAATCGTTTCTAGTGAAAAATTTTACAAATTTCATCTAAAAAAGGATAACGAAGGATACAATATTAAGAATTTTAGGAAATTACAAAATGAGAGAAGAACACAACACAACAAAAAAGCAGTTACAACCAAGGACGTAAATATTGTAAACGAGATAAATCTTGTGATGAAGATTAGGCTTGATTGTCTAGTTGTGGTGGGATTTTCTAGTGATAGTTGTAAGAACTTAGGTTCCAATTTGGTTCAACGGAAATAATCCAAATGGGATAAGTAATTTTATAAACCAAAAAATATCTCTTGGACATTTTATTATTTAGGCTCTGTTTGATCATAATATATATATTTTATTCCTATTTGTTTTTGTTTTTGCAAGAAGTAATAGAAAAAAGTTTAAAAAAAAACCTAAAATAGAGTAAATTACATCATATATTCATGATTTTTGTGTATATAATATTTCATTTTCATTAAAACTCAATTTTTGAATCTACAATCTCTTAAAATTGTTTTAAATAGGACGAAATTTACCATCTCAGTGCCACAAGATATCCATTTGAATGTTCGCATGGCAACAAGGGTAAACCAATCTGATTTTTGGGTTGAATATACTTTTGTAAGGTTATGGATCTAAAAAGGACGTTTTAAAATTATACATTAAATGAAATATTGCACAAAAATTATACATGATTGGTATATTTTACCCAAAAAATAATAGAAACTAAAAGTCTAATAATAAAAATATCAAGCAAATTAATTAACTTAATCAATAATATCATAAAATTTGGAGGAAATGGTTTCATTATGAATCTTAATGCCAAGAAAAGATAATTTCTGCTACTTGATCGAGCTCTTGCAAATTGTTTTTCATGTTCACAGGTGAAATCCCTTGGGAAGTTGGAAATCTTCTAAGCTTGGAGATATTTTCTGTCGGAAATATGAGGCTAGTTGGTCCAATACCAGCTTCCATCTTTAACCTCACTTCATTGAAAGCAATTTACCTCAATAGCAATAATCTCTCTGGCAGTATTCCAGATAATATATGTTACTCTCTTTCTAAACTTGAGGTGCTTCATATATCCTACAATGAATTTTCTGATCGTATTCCATCAAATATTGGTGACTGCAGCAATCTTCAAAATTTATCATTATCTTTTAATCGGTTCAGTGGATTCATTCCAAGAAGTATAGGAAATTTAACCAAACTTGAAGAGATATATCTAGGTGATAATGATATAGAAGGTAAGCTTTTGCATATGATTATTTAGATTTCAATTAATTGATTTTTTTACTATTCATATTAAAAAAAAGAATAAAAAGAAATAACTAAAAAATAAAAATTAATAGAATGGCCAACACAAAAATGGTCACATTTTGATTTTCTTTTTTGCTTTTCTCATTTTGATTAAAACTTTTGGTATTGAAAAAAATTAATTATTCCTTCATATTTTAAACATCAAAGAAATTAAGAATTTATTGTGTAATTGACCTTTATTGCATTTTAAATAACCTCAATATTATTAGAATGTTTAGAAAGTGGATAGTTTTATAATACTAAGTTGTTGTTCCTTTGTAGGTGAAATTCCATGGGAGATTGGGAATCTTATTTCATTGGAGCAATTAGGTGCATCATCTATGCGGTTAAGTGAGTTGATTCCACATTCCATCTTCAACATTTCTTCTTTGAAAGTAATTAGTCTTGAAAACAATCGTCTATCAGGTAATTTCATCATAAACATTTCATTACTTTTATATTTAAAATTATTTACTTTAGTTTCAAAAAAAGTTTAGTTTAGGATTATAAAATAAATAATCATAAAATTATGAAAACTGTTAAACAAATAAAGTGTCATTGAAAGGCTTGAGAAATGTTTTTTCAAACCTTTTTTATCTTATTAAAATCAAATACTGTTTCCAATTAAATTAGGGAAAAGCAAAACAAAGACTCAAAAGAATTTGCAAACCAAACCTAAAAATCGAAATTTTCATCTTTTGGAAAATATTTTTAATTTTTTTAAAATACATTTTATGATGGAATCATGCCCCTAACTAGGATTCATTAAATATTTTTCTTTTAACACCAATTTAAAGTTTCATTAAATTGGAACTGATCCATTTCGTAATTTTCTTTTATTAGCTAATAACATTAAGTCAATTCATTTTCTAGTTTTTCTAAATTTACTATTTATTAACAACGTGTAATGTTTTATTAAAATTAATATAATTTTATTTTTTATTAACAGGATGTAATATTATGATAAAATATTTAATTTAAATCTTCTAAAATATAAAATTTTTATTGAATGGAAAAGGTAATTTTAATTTGAGCACTATTATATTACATATAAATAATAAATTTAAATATGGAAATTAAAAATTAGATTAAAATTAATATAACATTATATATTAAGTCCACTCTTTTAATACAAAAATTAAGGCTCATACGTTTACTTAGCCTATATTATTTTTTACTCAACCCATTCTTTTAACACAAATGAGTAAAGTTTGTATGGTAATTGTGGAACAAACCTATGATTAATTATATTTAACAAAAATCAATTTCAAAAAAAAAATATTAACAAAAACCATTGTTTTAAAATATAGTATTAATGATTTTCGTAGTTGTACTCCGTTCCAAAAAGAAATCAACATTCAAAATTAAAAGATAAACATTCTTCACTCATCCAACCATGTGTCAATTTGCAATTTGTCCCCAATGACCATGCTTTTATCACAGGATTGTTTTAGTATAATTAATAGATTTTGTCTAAAGTTATCTAACTTTTTTATCTGGAGCATTTCAGTTATAGTTTTTTTTTACTATAATATTACAATTATTTGCTAATCATAATAAAATATTATATAGGGCTCATCATTTATTTATAAATTATGGGTTACATATAAAATTTTGATAAATCTCACATAATTTTAAATTATAATTAATTAATTATATTATAATAATTTTAAATTATATGTTCTTTTTTATGTTATTATATGCAATAAAAATAAGTGCTACTTTCACCCTTTTTTGTTGTCAAATTAGAGAATTTAACTGTTCTTTTACGAAATAAAAAGCAATAGTTGTGTAATTTTTTTTTTTTTGCTAAGTCATATTTATATTAGAGATCAAATCAGTGAAATACAACAATCTTACCAAGAAACATAGTTAAAAACATACCAGAAACAACAAAAAAACAGCTAGCACGATTCTAACGAAAGACTTCCACCTAAAAAGAAGAAATCATGACATCCAAACAAAAAAGAAAAAAAAAAAAAAAAACCCCACCGTGGTCGTTAAACAAATAATGAGAGCAAACACCACTATCCCTTACAGAACAAAATCACCACCCACCTTTGCCATCACATCTACCATATCATTCAGCTTTTTAAAAAATTTTCATCAAACTGGATGCCCTAATTGATCTCCAAAGCATCACAATTTCAGAAAATATCGACAACAACTTTCATGGTCGATGATTCCTTTTACATAGGGGCACTTCCATATCCCAAAAGCATACAAATAGCAAAACGTAAAACTCCCAACATTAACCTCATAACCACTATCATATCCTTCTAGAAAAGCTCTATTTCGAGAATGAATATCTTCGCCTGATAAGTGCTCTTGAACATTGGAAGATAGAGGTGTCTTTATCTGGCGAGACTTGCGATTGGATCTTGTCCAATATTTTGCCTTACCTTTTTTCCTTCTTTTACCTGCTCGAATAGTAGTAACAAGGTGAAATTTTTCTTCAACTTCGAAAAGTTTCTCAGCGTCTATATCACTATTGCTCATAAGCTCAATAGAAACTCCTGACCAAGTTCCAGAGATAATAACATACTTTCCTCTCACAAGATTTGATCAATGGCATTTGTAGTATCAGGATATCTAACTATCCCAACAGCATTCCGTTGTAATCCCACCAAATTTAAATTTTCAGTAATGTATTCAAGGATGTTAAGCGATTTTAAAACCTTTTCTTTTTGACCATCTGATACAATGTTATCCTTTAACTGAGTGGATTTGACAGACATATGAACCACCTCTGCATAAGATCGTCCATCTCTAAAGTCTTCTATGCAGCTAACACCTTTTTCCATGTGGTGAGTGGTGGGTTTAGAACTAGCATGAGACCTTTGATCATAACTTGCCATTTGAACACAGAGTGGAATAACTCAGGTGCTAACCATTTAGAAATTTGATAGCCCTCAATGCATCTCGTAGATCAAGATAATGGACAAAACCAACTAAGACATTTTTGGCTCTCTTTTGATCTTTTGGGACATAAAAATCAACAACCCTCTCACATCTGACAAAACATTGCTTGGGATTAAAGAGACTACATCCTGGAAAAATTCCATCAACAAACAGTGTAACAAATTTTTTTCTCGCAAGGTAATGTTCTTATGTGGCCGTCATATCATCCAAGAGATTTTTGACTTACCTTTACTTCACCCTCTAAATCGGAACTAAGGCAAGGCTTTTCACCCTGCTAATAATTGTGTAATCGAAAGCATCATTTTAAAATCTTTTTCATTAGTTTCACATTTTTTGTCATCATATTACTAAATTTTTTATTGTAGTAGGAAAATGTATACAGTATTACTCCAACATATCTCAAACGAACCTCCTCTGGTAGAGCATTCGTAAGGTTCTATCTAACCTTAGGGAAGAAAGAAAGTGATTTTCAAACTAAAAAGAGTACATGTACTTTTAACAATCTTTGAATAGAATCCTTGTATTTATCTCTTTTATTATGCATATAGTCCTAAAATGAAAGAAATTTTTATCATTTCTCTTGAGTCTTTTTTCCTAAAATGGCATAGATAAAAATTTTAATTTATTTCCAAATATTTACACTTTCTCAAAGAAATTAATGTAAATATATTTTTATTTTTTATTTGCTTCATTTTTGTCTTGTTTCTTTTTCTTTAATGAGCAATTTCATCATCCAAAATTTCTTTAATCTTTTTATCATTAAAGCAATTGAGATAAGTTAAAGAAATAAAATTCTCACATAAATGGAAAACATTTTAAGCATATACTAGAAAACTTAATAATATTTTCTTTTCTCCCTACCTTTCTTCTATCTTCATTTTTCTTTTTCTTTTCCTTTTTCCTCTTTTTTACTTTATTATACGTAAGCATGGAGCCTTCTTATAATTATAAATATGAAAAATATTTATAAACTATATATACATTCCAGATCATCAAACAAGAAAAACTTGAAGTTGTTTCATATTTATAATTTTTTCATGTTTCTCCTCACTCATGTTCGTATATGTAAGCATTGCATTCACTTCGGCTTGCATCATAGATTCATGAAAAACACAACAAAGCAAAACAATTAATTTATTTCTTGTATGGAAAGTTGAAAACTTATTTTTTCTCATTTTAGGTAAATTACCATACATGAGCTCTGCTTCAAATCTTGAGCAGCTTTACTTATGGGAGAATAATCTCAGTGGAAATATTCCTGACTCTATCTCCAATGTTTCTAAGCTCAGAGTCCTAGATTTAGATAGAAACTCATTCTATGGCCTTATTCCAAATACACTTGGGAATTTGAGGTTCCTTGAGATTTTGAACCTTCCGTCGAATGATTTGACCACAAAAATTTCAACTCATGGGTGGAGCTTTCTCTATTCCTTGGCAAATTGCAGGTATCTAAGAGTTTTGGACCTATCATTCAACCCATTGAATGGAATTCTTTCAACTTCTATCTCAAATCTTTCCACATCACTTCAAAAATTATTGGTCGTTGATTGCAAAATTAGAGGCAGCATTCCCATGGAAATTGGTAGCTTAAGCAACGCTATATTGTTAGACCTTTCTTCTAATAAATTGACTGGACCTATTCCAACAACAATAGGAAGGCTAAAAAATCTCCAACTTTTGAATCTTTCTGGGAATAAGTTACAAGGCTCTATCCCACACGATCTTTGTGGTTTGGTGGGATTGTACGAATTATCATTGGGTGCTAATGAGCTTGATGGACCTTTACCGACATGTTTGTGTGATTTGACTTCTCTGAGACATCTATACTTGTTCTCCAACAAATTGTATTCGCAAATACCCTTTAACTTTTTGGAGCCTTAAAGATATCTTAGAAGTGGACTTTTCATCAAACAATCTTAGCGGCTCACTTCCACTTGACATTGGAAATTTGAAGGTACTTATCTCTTTGAATTTGTCAAGGAATTTATTATCAAGTGATATTCCGTCCACAATTGGAAGTCTCTATGATCTACAGGTTTTGAATCTTTCTAGAAATAGATTACAAGGCCCTATTCCAAAATCATTGGGTCACTTGATAAGTTTGAAAAGCTTGGATTTATCTAACAACAATCTCTCTGGAGTCATTCCCAAGTCTTTGGAAAAACTTTATGATCTCAATTATTTTAATGTGTCTTTCAATAGATTGGAAGGAGAAATACCAAGTGGAGGGCCCTTTTTGAACTTCACAGCCAAATCATTCATGAAAAATTATGCACTATGTGGTTCACCTAGACTACAAGTCTCACCTTGCAAAAATAAAATCCATCCAAAATTCAAGAAGACCGCTCTTCATGCTTTGAGGTATGTTTTACCAACATTTGCTTCAATAATAATAGTTGTAGCTGTCATAATTGTCTACAAAAAAGGGCAACGGGGGAATATGAATTTGGCAATGGTTAACGATTTAATTCCTCTCAAGAAAAGGAGAAGAATTTCGTATAATCAACTATTGCAAGGGACTGGTGGATTTAGTGGGAATAACTTACTTGGTTCAGGAAGTTTTAGCTCTGTATACAAAGGAATACTTTCAGATGGAACAGAAGTCGCAATAAAAGTTTTCAATTTGCAAATAGATGAAGCATTTAAGAGTTTTGACATTGAATGTGAAGTGATGAGCAATATCCTTCATCGCAATCTTGTCAAGGTTATTACTTGTTGTTCAACTATTGATTTCAAAAGCCATAGTGCTTGAGTTCATGCCTAATGGGAGCCTTGAGAAATGGTTATATTCTTACAATTATGTATTGGATATCCTACAAAGAATCAACATAATGATAGATGTTGCATCGGCATTAGAATACCTCCATTTGGGACATCCGATTCCTATAATCCATTGTGACCTAAAACCAAGTAATGTCTTATTGGATGAGGACATGGTTGCACACGTGGGAGATTTTGGAATTGCCAAGCTATTGGGAGAAGGAGATTCCATCAAACAAACAATGACACTAGCTACTGTTGGCTATATGGCACCAGGTGATTTTTTCATTTTTTAAATTTTTTCTCTATTCCAAGACGAGTAGATATTAGTATTTTATCATTTTATTGATGATTAATGATGCCTGAATGACATGAGATCGTTTTAATGACTCAATTATATTTAAAATACAGAATACGGATCGATGGGAATTATCTCGACAAAAAGTGATGTTTATAGCTATGGTATTCTATTAATAGAGACTTTCACAAGAAAGAAGCCCACAGATGAAATTTTCGTTGGAGAAATGAATATAAAGCATTGGGTGAAAAGGTCATTATCAAATGAGATAATTGGTGTAATAGATTCTAGTTTAGTGCAAGAAATAGATGAATATTTTGTTATTAAAGCAAATTGTATATCATCTATTATGAGATTAGCTTTAGATTGTTCAACTGAATTACCTGAAGATAGATTAGATATGAAGAATGTTGTATCCATGCTGAAGAATATCAAAAGAGAATATCTAAACAACATTACGCAGGATTAATTAAT